CACTGCCCTGTCACCGCTGGCACTGCCCTGTCACCGCTGGCACTGCCCTGGCACTGCCCTGTCACCGCTGGCACTGCCCTGTCACTGCCCTGTCACCGCTGGCACTGCCCTGGCACTGCCCTGTCACTGCTGTCACTGCCCTGGCACTGCCCTGTCACCGCTGGCACTGCCACAGCACCCGGGGGAGCTGTGATCTGAAGCGACACTGGGGCCTGGCTCTGCAGCCCACACGTTGTGATTTGCTCCGAGGTGCCCAGGCAGTGACCTGGAATAACTGAGTGGCACTGGCAGTGCTGGGCTCGGGCACAGGGACGGGCAGGAACAGCACAGAATGGAGGAGGTGCAGGTAGGGAAGTGTCTTCACTGCTGCTCAGTGGGGACTTCCAGAAGTGTGTTCCACAATTTCCCCTGGTGAATCACTGCTTCTTGTGCAGCTGTRTATTTTTAGGCAGGAAAATGATTCAGTGCTGTCCCAGCCAAGGCATTTCAGAAAGCTGGCAGATGTGTGGGAATGACTTTGGGAGAGTTTGCTGTTGTGTGCACATGGGAGAGAGCCCTGGAACGCCTCTGAATGAGTCCTGTCTGCTCCTGGTGTGGTACTTTTGCCTGTGTTCCTGTCGTTTGCTAGAATTTCCAAAAATGTAACTTCTCTTTAGGATACTCTTCACCTGGGAAGGCAAGTAATTTCTGAAATGAATGCCCTGCAAGTATGAGTTGATGACACAGGGCAGCTGAGTGCTGAACATCTCGGGGGTCCAGCGCAATGACCTTTTCTGTGCTGGTCACTTGTGCAGGTGCCAGGGCTGTGCTTTTGCCTCTCAAAGCTGTTGTTCTGTGCCCCAGAGCTCATTTATTCCCCACAGTGTGCAGATCCCTCTGCAGGAACTTTGGCAAAGGTGGTGGCTGTTCCTGCACCTCCAGCACCATCCTTCAGCTGCTTGTTAGTCCTGCAGCTGTCTGCAGGCAGCATCTCACATGGAGAAATTGTAAACTGAATGTTACAGGCAAATTAAACATTTGCCATCTTGTGAGGAAAGGTCTTTAATTAGGAGAAGSATACACTGGAATGCCAAAAGGAAAAAAAAAAATTGACAGGGGACGGACAAGCAGGGGAAGCAGGAGAAAAGAGCATATACAGTCCTTGGATGTTTTAATAAATGATGTATCTGAGGATTATTTGATGTAGTTGAGACTGCCAGGATTTCTTGTATTTTCAGTACCACGGCTGAAACTTATTTAGGATTTAAAAAGAAACCTTATTGAGGTGAGGAATTTATTAATAATTTCCTGTAACTTCTGTCCAAAATACCCAGTAAATTTCTTTTGATAAAATACAGACTTGTGGAAGTACACAGAAATCCCCCAGCTTCTGACACTGGCTGCAAGTTGGAGCAGGATTTTAAAGTTTGGAATGGTTGTGTTGGTTTTTTCAGACAGTTTTGCATTCCTGGCTGTGCTGGGTTTGCTGTGTCCCTGGCAGTGCCTGGTGGCTGTTAAAGGTGCCCCTCTGGGTCACTCTGTCACTGTGTCACTGTGTCACCCTGTGCCTTGTCCCTTCCAGAGCCTCTGTCCATCCAAAACACTCTGGAGRTCCTGGGAGCCTCCAAGGGAAACAAATCATTTCTCAAACATCAGAAATCAAGGAGATATTTCCCCCAATGCTCACCACTCTGTGCTGTGGATGTGATGATGTATTTGTTTCTAATCCCTGTTTGTGCCTCAATGACCCTTTGGTGATGTCTGGCTCTGTGTGACACTTTACAGTCCCTGTGAGACAATAACCCTGCTCTGTTTGTTTGTTTTTGCAGTGGGAACTCCCTACTACATGTCCCCAGAGCGAATACACGAGAATGGCTATAACTTTAAGTCTGATATCTGGTCTTTGGGCTGTTTATTGTATGAGGCAAGTATCTTCTCATTTTTTTTTTTCTCTGGGTTTTCCATAACCACAYAGTTCAGGAAAAGAACTGAGTAGGTCAGGCTGCCTGTAGTCAACTTGTTGAGAATTCTGAGAAAAAWTTTGTGTTTGTTGTGCACTTTCTGGGCCATCCAGCACTTGCACAAAGTTAATTCAGGTCCCAGCAGATGTGGAGGATGGAGCCATGAAAAGGCAGCTCCTGCATCCCTCCTTCCTGCTGGGGCAGAGCTCTGGAGGGCAGCATTGCCAGAGTTTCTCCTGACTGCATTTGGTTTGAACGTAGCAAATCCATTCGAATGCAAGTTCTGGATTCTTAGATGGAATTCTGACCAATTGTGGTATTATAATTTTGGGAACTTTCAGTAAAGAAAACCAGAGGTTTTATGTAATGTGAAATCAGTTCTCWAATTAGCAGATTATGGCTGGAAGTTTTTCTAATTGCACATTRTGTTAGAGCTTGGGGCACAGACCCAGAGCAGACACGTTTGGATGAGTCCAGGGTGCAGCTGTTACATGGATTTTGGAAATAAGAGCTATGATTTTGTAACTGTGCWTTTGGTGTTGTGATTTATTTTTAGCAGGGATCAAAGGGTATCAAACAGTCTTGTACTCTTTTATAATCTAATCTAAATATTTTTTTAGATGGATGCWTCTCCTAATTCAAGTGACAGTGCATGCCAACATTTAGAAAGCTTTTATCCCAGCCCAGAGAAATAAAAATCCCWGGGATATTTAGTCAAGAATATTGTTCACATCCTCTTTGGTTAACAAATWATGTGAACTGGTGACATTTTGCTTCCCAGTGCAACTTCTGGTAATCCCATGGAATTAGAGAATAAACAGAAATGTAATTCAGTTTGTGAGCACATCAGATGTGAAAACCACTCTAACTGAGCATGTGCTTCAGCTGGTTGGTTAAACAAACATTGTGGGACAGGACAGGGTGAATTTTTCCATAAATTCTGTAGGGTTTGAGTGGAGGGCAGTGCCCTGGCCTGGAAGATTGGCCCTGTCTGGGCTCCCTGGGGGCTGCTGCAGTGCAGGGTTGCTCTGAGTCACTCCAGGCTGAGCTCCAGAGATGGGATTCCAGATTTATGCAGAGAGAAATATTTTGCGTTGTGCTAAGATATGTTTTTGTTGCAGGCAATATGGTCCCCTTATGGCACAGGAGTCTTGGTACTCCTTATACTTCAAGAAGCTGAATTAATTGCACACTAAACATAATTCTCTGGTAGGAGTAGCAGTACTACAGTAACATCTGAAAGATTTGGCATGTGGAGCATTCTTAAATTTCCTTCCTACGTAGGTAAGCCTTAACTTAGGGAGCAGGAACTGTGAGACATTGCAGATTCCTGGAGGACTGGGCAGGTACCAGTTTTGTGTTCAGTAGTTAAAACAGCTATTTGACTTTTTAAACTTTGTGGAATTTGCAAAATTAAGCTTTGGATCTTTTTGTCTCTGAAGGAACTGTTCTATCTGCTCTAATGTCTTGTAAGGAGAATGTTTTTCCATTTGGCTTAGAAGTAAGGAAAGGCTGCTTGTTTGGGTATGAGTCACTTCTGATMTTTCTCCAGATAGATTGTGTAGATAAGCTGCAGAGAGATTTAATGTACAAATTGCCTTCAGAGACACGTGTGTCCACTGGAATCCACTTAGGGAACATTGAGGGCTTTGGGACATGATGCCACATAGCAGCACTTAACTTTGACATTGATAATCATACAGTGATTTTTATTAAATCTTATCAATAGAGTAGTAACTGTCTTCATCCCTCACTTCCTGTAGATATCTGTCAGCAAGATAACTTGGAGGGGATAAAAATAAGTTGTTAATTCCCAGAATGTAGCTACAAGCAATGACTTCAGCAGTTCTGGCAAGACGATCAATTTAAACACTAACAGGGATTCCCATCTCTGGATGTTTGAACCAGTCATGCTGCGTGGTGGGCGTTTTCCATGGAGATCTGCCTGGCCTGGGGTAATTGCTCTAATCAAAATGTCAGGAGCAAACCCCAACGTAGCATCACAAAGTGKAGTTAGTGAGGTACTGGGAGTGCCTGTGGTCATGGCCCCGCAGCCCTGACTGCTGCAGTCACAACTGGCTGCTCTCTCTTCCCACTTCAATTCCCTGCATTTACCATCCCAAACCCCACAGCCATTCCTTTTCGTTCCTCCCCTTTTGCACATGAGCACTTAACTAGAGCTGGAATGGGAAATTAATGGGAATTGGAAAATCCCTCTCCAYCTCCCTGGCATTATTGCTGGGTGTATTGAGATCCTGTTTAACCCTTGCTCTTTCTGTGCTTTCCCTGATGCCCCCATTTGTGCCTTCCCTGGAACAATCTGTGCTGGGATTCTCTTTTCTAAATAGTAGGTTTTCAGTAGGAGATCCATTTGCTTTGAGGTTGTTTTGGGTTTGTTTTTTTTTAAATGAAGTACATTGCTTATGCTTACAAGATTCTTCATATTCCAAGCAGCTTATTGTCCAAAGATAGAGARAGATGATTATATTTGAGAGGGTTTCAGAGTTGTCTTAGAGCTGATGGGCTGCTGGTCTGAGCATTCTGTTTCCTGGGTTTCTTTTCCTTGGGAAKTGTGGCAGAGCCTGGGACTGCAGAGCTGTTAGGATTTTGGAGCAGCCTGGGCTGGAGCAGCAGCAGCCCTTGCTCCTGTCACTGGCAGAGAACAAAATTGGCTCTTGCAAACCAGCAGCACCGAGGGCTCTCAGATCCTTTGTGTTTCCAAAATGTTTTCTTTTTTTTTTTCTCTCCAGATGGCAGCTCTGCAAAGTCCCTTCTATGGAGATAAAATGAACCTGTTTTCTCTTTGCCAAAAAATAGAGCAATGTGACTACCCACCTCTTCCAGCTGAACATTATTCTGAAAAGGTAAATTGGGAGCGTGGTTGCAGGGGAATAGGGAGGTGCAGTGAAATTCCTCCTGGCACAGGGAGAAGGAGCCCAGGAGGAGAATTCACCACATCCAGGGGATGGCCTGGATACCTGGCTGAGGAAATGATTTTTGTGGTGTCTGAATACTGACAAGCTAAATCAAGACAAAAAAGATTTCTTAATGTGGGGAATATTGTGAAACTGAAAGTCTGTGATGCTGGCAGAAACCAGCAGTGAGCCRTGGGAAAGTCCTTTTCTTGCTTCCTTTCCTGTAAGACATTTCATAAAAGAGCACTGATAGGTTTGTTTATGAAACCTTCAGTGTGTGAAAAACGGGGAAGGATTCATTTGCAGAAAAGAGAGAAGTAAAGCCATTTGGTTTAATGCAATAAGCTCTTTGAGTCAGGTTTGAGCCAAGGGATGGGGAGCAGCATCTGAACCCCTGTCCCAGTTCCTGCTCCAGACTCGTGTGCTGCGTTTCCTCAGGGCCTCCTGAGTTAGGCTTGACTTTTTCCACCTCACCTAGACAAAGCAGCTGCTTTTCCTTAACCTCCTCATTCCTTACAGTTGCCTTCTATTTGAGAGGAAATGGCTAATGGAATTTGAAATGTTCTCTGTATCCCGTGGGGTTTTTCTTTTGTTTCACTCTACCTCAGCATCCTGAGGAGGAGGCAGGATGCTGGGAAATACTGAAGGCAGCTCTGGCCTCCGCCCTGGGAGGGTCCCTCTGCCACACTTTTAATTTTTGCTTCATTTTTCTTTGCCCAGTAACTCGTGCAAGATGATGCTTTGAGAACGMGTCTGTAAAAGTGAATTTTTAAATTTTTTCGCCCCAAGCTCCGTAGCAGCACCCAGCTTTGCACGTCCCTTTGCYGTGCTGCTGCAGTTTGCATTTCAGGATATGCCTGTTGGCAGCAGGAATTAGTGTAAGTTGACAGATGTGTTTCCTGTCTTTACAATTACTGTCTGTTTGCTTCCCTCTGGCAGTGCTAAGGAGTGTGTGCAGTGCAGGGATGCAATGGGGTGAGGAGGAGGATTTAGAGCTCAAAGGTCCCACAGAATTCCAGATGGTTCATGCACTATTAACGGGATGCTGGCGGAGCTCCTCGTTTGCTGCTGGTGCTGGTAACAGCACAAACTGGGAATTAGAGCAGGGCTCCCCCATCCACTGTGGTACTTCTTGGAATGAGCAACAGGAACAAGGCAGTGTTTGGGGCAGAGGCCCTGCTTTAGGTTCCTTTCAGGGATTTCCTCTTCTCTGTGGCCTTCTGTGTCTCACCCGTCCATATCCTCGTGTGAGCAACTGCGTGCTGCTGGCAGCAGGAGGAGGAGCTGGGATCCAGCCAGGATTGGTTTCTATATTGAGAACAAATTTGCTGGTAACTGGAGCTGCTGGCTGGCTGCTGATCCAGGCTCAGCCACTGGTTCCTGTAGGTGCTGCTGGAATGGCTGAGGGGACACAACTGAAATGTGTGTGAGGACACAACTGAAATGTGTGTGGGGACACAACTGAAATGTGTGTGAGGACACAACTGAAATGTGTGTGGGGACACAACTGAAATGTGTGTGGGGACACAACTGAAATGTGTGTGGGGACACGGCTGTTTTGGTGCTGCATTCACAGGCGAGCACAGCTCTTTTGACAAACAAGAGGCCCACAGGCCGTGGCAGAGCTCTGGAAGCATTTTCAGTTGTTTGTAGAGGTTCTCTGGTGGCCTGGGCTGCTCAGGGCTGAGATCTGTGTTCAGTCTTTGGGGTCTCAGGGTTCTGAAGGCAGCGATGTCCCTGCCCTGAGCTCAGAGTCTCCATAGAACGGGGCAGGGCCAGGCCTGGTGGGTTTTTGGGATGGGAACTGGGCCTGGCTCATGCAGAGCTGCAAACCTTGGCTACGTTTGTTAATGCAGCTGAAGCCATGTGCTTGATAGCTTTATGGCTATGCTTTTAATTACCGTTAAAATAATTGGCACCGTGGCTACTGGGAGCATGTGAGAAGATCAGAGGCTCAAGGCTGTTTCTCCTGGTGCCTCAGGGGTACGAGCAGCTTTCAGTGTCTGTATAATTAAAAGCTACAATCTTTCATGTGCACAATAAAGAGGGCTGGGAGGTGGGGAGACTCCAGCCCTTCTGCATTTTATTTATTAAACATAACCAATGACCACTTTCTCTCCTTAAAGGTTTTTAAGAAGCACCAGGGTCTAACAGCTGTGTCCAGTAGCTTAAGATGCACCGGTGCTGGTCAGAACTTGTTACACCAGAAGGGTTCAGGGTGTGGGAAGGGCAGTGCAGGCGCTGAGAGCTCTGCTCAGGATCCCCTTTTCCTCAGTTCCCTTCCTGCAGGTCCCTCCTCACCTCACACCTCACTCACATCTGGAAGTG